CCTTCAGATGTTTAGTGAATAGTATACTCATAGTCCAGTAGTTCTTATATTCTTTGACATAAGAACATTGACCAGCATACTTCACTGCTGTATCCCTCCTATAATAATAATTATAATAATGATGATACTAACAATATAAAATTAATTATAACTAACATAGATCCTTTGTACAAGACACAAATAAGACAGCTTTTACTGATCTCTAACGAAGCATATGTCTCTCCTATAGGAAAAATCCCTCCATTAATGCAATTGAATGCAAAGACTTTCTTTTCTAAATCAACAGCAGCAGTTGCAAAGCACATTTTGCTGGCAGTGATGTCATCTTTGAGATCAACACAATGCTCTAGCTTGATGGTGGTATAAAAATCTGGAGGTAGCTCCTCTGGTAGTGCAATATCATATATAGCACTAACAATAGTGCAGCCATCAGGTAGAGTAAAAGGACCACAGAATATAGTGCGAACATTAATGGTTGACTTCTCTTCAGTGAGAGCTGGTACAATCAACTCATAACCATAGTCAGTACTTTCAATTGTGGATTCAATTCCTCCTTCTATTGAATGCTTTTGTAACTCAATAGTGATGCAAGTACCTGATAATAAATTTAAACTAAAACAGGCACACATTATGTGAAAAGGACAAAATTTAGCAGTGCTGCTCAAAAAACCAATAAAACATAATAACTAAAATACTATTACCTTTCAGCATGTCTTCAATTTGCTTGATGAGCCATTGTACCACTTGACTAGGGTCACTTTTACCAGTCTTATCTTTTAAAGACTTGTGTATATTAAAACTATGATACACAATCATTCCAACATCAAGAGGTACTGTCACTGCTAATGAAACCCCAGCTAGGGCTGCACCAGCAACACGTGCTCCAGTACGCAAAGCAATAGCTCCAGTCTCCGCAGCCGACTCTAATCCAACCGCAATGCCCATACCAATCCTACTCAGGTTGGCAATACCCTGGGCTCCTCCAGCTGCAAAACTTCCCACCATTCCTTCACTGCTGAGAGCAGACTGAGTACACTTTACCATAGCAATACTATACTTCTCAGCAATTTCATTGATACTAATACTCAACTGCTGATCAAGGCGAATGTGCTCTTGAGCTGATTTCAGTTGTTTATTTTCTAAAATATTTCTAGCAATAAATGCTCCAACCCCTCCTAGTGCGGCACCAGCCCCGACCGCACCACCAGCAACTGACAGGGCTACTGATGCACCAAGTGTGAATGGAATCAGAGCAAGACCAAGGACCACCATCCCACCTCCTAGCACTAAACTGACTGATGATGTAGCTATCCTAGCTATCCTCTCACTGCGAACTATGGACAATACTTTATCTTTATTTTCTGATATGGCACTGATGGTTTTGGAACGTATTGGGTGCCACATAGAGCGGTATATCTCCAGCTGCTTCTTGTAGTACTCTTTCTCTGCTCTATACAAAATAATAACTTAAATATAAATTGCAAATAGCAAAAGACAGAGAGAAAAAAGAAAAAGTTTTCAGCTAACCTTGAATTGAAAGGTTCATATGGTGTAGGTAGAACAAACTTGTCAGTAAATTTATCAATGTACATGCAGGAAACCTTCATATCATTTCTGTCACATTCTTTTTGAATCTCTTTGAAGCATTTTTGTATGCTGGCCCCCTCCTTCAAGTTATTCATAACAGTGTCTAGAACCACACTGCTATTCTTCTGGATTACTGACGTTATGAGAAGAATGGAATTTTTAGAAGGAACGGACAAAACCTCAAGTTTCTCTTTGGGCTCCTGGTCATGGGCTATATGAAAGTAATAGATTTTTGGTAATTGAGCAAAAGGAGACTGATCATCTTGGAGGCATCCAAAAATTTTGCCAGCCTCAATCATTTCGCTGTTGCAATCGTAAAGGTGTCTGGTCTTGCCCTTACAAAGGAAAATGAGAGCAAATGTGGCCAACTGAGAGTGATCAATGTGATGAAGCGCTTCCAGTAGAGTGTTGATCGTTTGAGAACTGAGTGAGTTGAAATAGAGGGTACAAAACCCAAGGGTATTAAGAGTTTCTTTGATTTTCTGAGCATCATCATTAATTGTCTTAGTCCCATCTTCTTCTTCCCTTACTTGACCATGATTATCAATAATGATAGCCAAATGAATCTCTACAAAAATAGCAAAATAAAATAATGTACATAATAATAGACAAATAAATTTCGATAGAAGTGTCAGAATAAAAATTAAATCATTATTTATACATACACTTACTATCATTTAAATTCCACAAGCTAAAATTATGTTTTTCCTTGATTTGTGAATGAGCAAATTTTATCAAGTCATGTAACCAGTTCTCTCTATCAGGAAGCTTCATTGGGTAACGATCAGAAAATGTTGGCTTATAATAGCCAGCTGGTACAACCTGAACCACCAAATCATTAATCTGTAGACGTTGCTTTAAGAAAGCATTGATATCAGCTGCACGTAGTTGCACTCTATTAACAAACCTCTTTCTTAATAACCTCGCCCATCCTTCTATATCTGAGAATGGAGGCTCATCATCTTCCTCGTCTCGGCTATCTCTCTGTGCACAGTCTTCTTTGTTAGCAAAAGTGAGCACAATTACAACTCTCTTCAAAAAATCAGAGCCAAACGCTTGATGCAGTCTATGCAGAGCTAACGTATCATCGCTATCAAGCCTGTGATCAGTCATTTTCATGCAGTACAGCACGAGGCTAACCTTCTGACAATGAGCCTTTATTTTATCGATGTATGACTGTTCATTAGCATGCATATCCTGCAAACCAGGTGAGTCTATAACCCTCACTTTGACACCTGGTAACAGCTCAGGATGAATGTAAGAGTGACATGATTCGGTACACATGTCTATCTCTGCTCCCTCTTTTGCAATCTCTTTTTTTAACTCTATCAAGCTGTTAATAAAAGTTGACTTCCCCTGGCCGGTTTTTCCCACCACAAGCAGATGAATATCTGATGAAGTTCCTTCACTCGTCAAGATATGCTTCATTGTAGACATGCCTAGAAAAGAAAATTTAAATGAGGTGAATGCAAAAGTCCTGGCTGCAGAAAGACACACCACTCTGGTCACTCCTTTTCAATTGTATCTCTCCCATCCGCCCATTAGCTTGTCTAATAGTCTAATTTCTGACATATAACAATACTTATTCGCTGGGTTACCAGTATGCATGCATGCATCATTCTATTAAGCATGTACAGTAGTATAAGTAAAATCCCATATTCCCATATCCCCAAAACCACAAAATCCACAAAAATAAAGTGCCACAAAAATTACCTGCTATATGGCCAGACTATATATGGTAGTAATATAATCTATATAATTACGATAATCAAGTAATAGTAATAGTAATAGAAATGTCAAATAATAGGAATAATTATAATTACTTTAGTTTAGTCAACTAATGTAATGGTAATAGTAGTGTCAAAAAATTTTCTCGTTAATAGTAATTGTAATAATACATTTTACCCCATGTCACAACTTTTTACACAAATTACGACTATAGGGTATGTGCTATTAACCACAGGATTATCCATAAACAGTCAAGTAGTTAATAGTACACACCCAAGAATTATCATCCCTGATACAGGCAAGTTTTTTCAAGGGTCTAATGTTCTGTGGTTTGCCGTGGTTGACAGTTTACATAGCCTGTAAAATTTTGAGGTAAGCCCCAAAACCACGAAAATAAAGAACTACAAAAATAACCCCCTATATGGTATTTTTATACAGCCCTGACAGGCATTATTGCCTGTTGCTCTGGCTGAACCACTACCATTATTCTATCATATTGTGGCTGATTATCACAATCATATCATATATGCTAGGCTGATTACTGTGCAATCCCTGATACAGGATGTGTCAGGCTGAGTCATGATTGCAAATCATTTATGATTCAGATTAAAATTTTTTGCTGTGTACATACACACCCATTGAAGTAGTTGTAAGGAACATCATAATGCAATTTCTTAAGTGAATTGAACAGAACTAGTCTACACTCCAATACATTAAATGTTGGATAATAAGCTTACTTTCGTTGTATTCTGATAGATCGGTAATATCATCAGAAATTGTTTCACGAGTGCCAGTAGCTCTTTCATGATCAATATCTGAAGACAATAGTTATAATGATAGCAATAGTCTAGATATAGAATTAATGGACTGACCTTCCTCATCATCTTGATCACTTAATAACCTCGGTTCAGCCATTGTGGAAAAAGCTGGCCACTATCTTGCACTTGCAGTGAGCCAGTAGCTGCGGCGCAGACTCGGAAAATAGATAGAGTAACGGAGGTAGTTTACGGACACCTAACGTTTGGAAGGGTCTCACTGCACTGGTCTCACGATCCTTTGGAAAGCACTGGGTCTACCGTCTACCAGATTCTATTCATGAAGGATTTTCAGAAATTCTTGTCCTGGAGATTTTAGGAATTTTTTAAAAGGCTACCGGGTGGTGGAGGTAGTTAACGGACAGGTGAGGCAGTCTCCGGACAGTGACAGAAATTGACCTTTTCTGAGGTAACTGAGCAATAAACTAGGTAAACAGCAATGCATAGGTGATGGACCAAGCCTGGCTGAAACTTGCTTAATTTTGAAGTTGGAGTGGTCATACAAGTATTGGTGGAGCTCTTTGGTGTTGAGTATTTTCT